CCGGCGGCGGGGAAGGGCCGGGCCGCGCCGCGCTGGGCGGCTCCCGCGGCTGCGCGACCGGGCTGCGAAGGGAGGGGATGGGATGGAATGGGATGGGATGGGCAGGAGAAGGAGGGGATGGGGTGGACCGGCCCGGGTGTGTCCTGCCCTGCCCTTGCGGAGTCCCCTGGGCCCGGCAGCCGCTGTCCAAAATTGAGGGCGAGGAGCCGCCGTGCCACGCCCCGGGGCTTTGCGCGTCAGCCGGCGCTGTTAAAATGCCCGCGGTCCGAGCATCGCCGCGCTGCTCCCGGAGAAACAGAAGCCTTGTATTCACTCTATATTTGGGACAAAAAAAAAAAAAGCCACCCCGCCCGGTGCTTGCCCGCAGCGGAGCGTTGTCACTCTGCGTCTGTCACCGCGGCGATTTGCTTTTTGTTATTCTGGTGCTCGACGCGGTGACTGATGAAAACACCTTTGTGGGCAGAAAGGGAGGCAAAATGGCTTCAAGGCAAATCCCTTGGCCCACAAGGTCATGAGATTTTACTGGCTCTGAGGGTTCTGGCATTCCCTTGCCTCCAGCCTCCCTGCTGCAGTAGRATCTTTGGGTGCCCCATGATGGCATGAGCAGGACTTCACCTACATTCTGCCAAATATCCTCGCCTCTGGATATTACCCCGATCCCAAAACAGTGCCCTTTGTTTTTTGAGTAATGCCATCGCCTAAATAGTCCTTTGTCAAATGCTGTGGTGTGTACACAGCTGCTCCAAAATGCTCCCACAAGTTGGATATTTTATTACRCCATCAGGAGCAAGAGAAGTGACCTTAATACAAATGGATTAACTTTCAGTGTCCAGGAGATGTGGACAGAGTCTGTGACCAGGGCTTTRTAGACATTTTACCTCAGGATATGGGACAGAGGTGAATGAGGAAGAGGAGGTCAGTGAACAAACCCATGAAATTCAGATCCATAGTAACTCCTCCAAGTGCCGGTGGTGGCCAACTTTGCATTTAATTTTGCTGTGCAGCACCAGTGATAGCAACTTGAAGCTGTGTCAGGAGACATTTAGGATGGATGTTAGGGAAAGATTCTTCATCAGAGGATGTTTGGGCACTGGAATAAACGCCCCAGGGAAGTGGTCACAGCACCAAGCCCAGCAGAGTCCAAGAAGTTCTCAGGTGTGATTCTTGAAACTGTCCTGTACATGGTCAGGAGTTGGACTTCTACAAATCTTGTGGTCCTTTCCAACTCAGGACATTCTATGATTCTGTGATTCTGCCTCCTGTCTGCACTCACCAGGGAAGACTGCTGTGCTCTGACACTTTCCTGCAGAAACTCCTTGCAACATTTTATTTTATTCCTCACTTTTAACTTGTTGTTTACATGTATTCAGTAGCCATGGGCTGMTGCTCAAATATGTGTTTGATACTGTGCAAACATTTCACTCTCAGGAATCAATGGGAACAGAGAGGTCCTGCTAAATCTCATTCCACAAACAGGTTGTGCCCTCCAAAACATGGTGCACTTCTTAGCACTCATCCTTAGTAAGGTGCTGGCTGAGCAACTTCTGCACAGCTTTTGCGCCATCCCACATGACAGGTGATGCACAGGTAATGAAAAACGAGTGGAAAGAGAGAGCAGCAACCCTTTCATGCCACAGCTGATCATTTGCAGCACGAGGTTTTGTTAAATTCTTATGACAGGGCAATGAAGAGATGGAGAAGACGAGTGCTTTTTCTCTGCTACAGCACCTGCAAATCTCAGGCTGAAGATTTGTTTCAAGTGGCAGACAGCCCAATAAATCTGGACTGTCACAGCCTGGTAGCTGATCTCAGCTTTTGTTCATGCATGGGAATTGCTTGCTGTGTTACTGATAACAGGGATCCAGTTACAGATGGGATCTAAGTTTCTGTGAGGGCAGGGACAGGTCCTGAGCATCCACATCCCAGCTGCTGCCACTGCTTGACTTTCAGAGACAAATGAGCTGTACTAAAATCTGTGGTTTTATCAATGGCCAGCACAAGTGGGGAAGACCTGTAGGGGAGAGGAGAGAGGGAAGGCAGGAGTAAATAATTCACTTCCTAGTGCACACCCAGAAAAAAATCAGGCAAACCTGGATGTATTACGTCAGTTTATGCTCTGAAAATCAGTGCTGTTTTGGTAATCCCGCTTGTGCCTGCTTTCCCCAGSATTATTAGAGCAGCACTTCAGTCAGGTGTTTAACACTTGCTCAGTAAGGACTGCKACCCTTCTTTTGGAGAAGGGTTTTATGCTGTGTTAATCCTGTTCTGGGTGGGCTGTTGCATGGAAGCTGTGAGGGTCCAGAACACAGTGGTGCCTCCTCGGACAGTTTGGGAAGTCACAGCAACAGAGCACATGTGCCTCATGGTGTGTCAGACACAGATCAGCACAGACACCCCAGCAGCCTTGCCGTCCTGCACAAAACCAGGATTTTTAGAGGTTGGTTATGACTTGCATGGCGCCGACCAGACCTGGCCACTTAAAATGTGCAGATCCCATTGTCACATCTTGTTTGACAGAGTTTAACAGCAAATAAAGAACATGAATACAATACAAGTATTCTCATACCTGTCCCACACAGTTGCCTCACTAGTGGTGTTCTGCCATCCTCTTTTCCTTCAGGTTTCAAAGTCTTCTGCCAGCAGGTATTGAATCCAGTTAGCWTGGCATTCTGATAGTCAAGCTTATCTGCAGGCAAAACAGCAAAAACATGTCCATAACCTGCCTTTTTCCATGGCTGTGGAAGAACGCAGTGCCCATTCCCTCASGCACTGTTGCCTGTGGCAAATGAATTGTATTAGAGAGGATTATTAGCTGGTAGCAGTGCCCAGGAACCCAAGTATTGCTTTCTGCTYCTGTGCATTGCAGGTGCTGCAGTCTGGGTGATTCCTTAGATATGATCTGATTTTCCCAAATTTGCCTCCAAGAGGCTCAAAAATTATGCCCGCTACACTGGCAGCTGCCTTGCTGTCTTGCTCAGGGAGGGTAGAAATCCAGCTCTGSATGCTTGCTAAATTACCACTGTTCACTTTTTTGAGTGCTGCCAGTTTTTTGAGAGCCAAGAGTGATACACTCACAGCCTGTCTGGCTGCAAGCACACACCAAGTGCAGCACAGACTGGAACAGTCATCCCTCAGATACAAAACAGAGAGCAAAACAAGATCTAATACATTAAAATACACTTCTATCTGTAATCTGTTCTAGTGCAGCTGCCTAAAGGAACAGAGAGGAACAGAATAAAATAAGTAGATTTTTCYAGTTAACATAAATCTAAGCTTACTTTGTTGTAAAGCAAGCCAGATTTTTCTTCTAAAGTCTCCAGTTTGATTTGGGGGCAGGAAGGCACAATGTTATGAGATTCTGTGCATTGGCATAAAGACTCTTGATATTCATTACTTTTTTCTTTTTTGGGTAATGTCCTTGAGTTCATTGCACATCTTTAAGAAAGCCTGAGGTAACCATGGCAGGCTGCCCACAGAGGTGGCAGCCGATGTGGAAACCACAGTCTGAACCCCGTGGTTGTGATGGGACTTTACAGAATCCCAGTGCAAAAGCTGTCCCATCTCTATTTTAGCTGAGAACTAAGTAAGATTTTTAAAAATCAGAGCTCATGTTCTGAGCTCCTGATCACCTCAGGTTTTATTTCATGTACTGCTGCCAGCTGGRTTTGAACAGCAGAGCTTCACTCTCCAGATCTCCCTTGGGGCTTCTAGAAATAGGGGCACCCATTTTCCACTCACCTCCTGCACTGATATCCACAGCTCCTACTCACTGCCTCTCTCTCTCTTCCAAGTTGTCAAAGTTTGGGCAGCACAGAGATTTGAARAGCTCCATGAATCAGTGTGGGTTGGTTTTACAGGTTGTTCTGTCTGAAGCAAAAGGACCTTGCTGTGCCCTTGCACAGGGACAGGCTGTCCGCAGCTCAGGCTGGGCTCTCACTTTGTGTGCTGCCGGGACATCATCCGGTGGTACAGAAGTGCTTTCCTTTGAAGTAGTCCAGACTTACTGAGCCCTTCACTGCAGATGACATAATTTAATGGGTTTTGTGGTGACGGCTGAGTTTATGAGAGGGTGAAAAAAGGCTTTTTCTTT